TAGCCACACCCAAGACCTTAATATCATCTGCAAATTTAAGTAATTTATTGACTATTCCTACATCAGTGTCATTTATGTAAATTGAAAACAGCAAAGGTCCTAAGACTGAGCCCTGAGATTCCCCTCTAGTGACATTAATCCAGTTTGACTGAACTCCATTTGTAACAACCCTCTGATTTCTTCCATCCAGCCACTTTTCTATCCAATTTGCTAACTTATCTGCCATACTTATAGAAAAATGTTTTTCAAACATTTTATGTGGCACCTTGTAAAATGCTTTCTGAGAATCCAGATACACCAAATCTACACCCTCATCTACATAAGCAGTAACCTTTTCAAAGAATGTCAAAAGATTTGTAAGGCAAGATTTTCCTGTAGGGAAACCATGTTGACTATCCAGTAAAATTCTAAACTTTGTTAAAGAACTTTGTAAAGCAATTTTTATCACCTCCCTTGAAAAGAGGAGTGACATTAGCTAACATCCAGTCCTCTGTTACCTGCCCACTATTCAAGGTTAAGTTAAATCTGTCTATAAACTATAGAAATTTTCTTCCATGACAAGATATCAGGTAAACTTAGTTAGGTTTAGCAATTTAGTGAGTGACAGGAAACTATTCTCATCACTCAAATCCTTATTTATTGAATATTATTATTAACTTTATCATATTCAAATAGTGCAGACAAATAAAAAAAAAAACATATTATTTATTGAAAAGAAACTATATTTATTAGATTTCAACACAGAGTATTGTTTGCAAAAATAGTCTGACAAGGGTACTGGTGTTGCTGTTTTGAATGATCCTAGATTACTAATAAATCTTTGTCAGTTTTGCTTTATTTTTGATTTATGGAAAGATGTTGTGACTAAGTCAGTCGGCAAAATAAAAGTACCAAAAAGAATATGGTGATGTACAAAGAAACTAAAGCTGATATCACACAAAATAGAACATTGGGATCACTGATTAAAAAAAAAACATTCTAAGATGAATTATTTGTAATGTTTCTTGAAAACAGTCTCATATGAGATTTTTCAAAATTCTGAAGCTAAAACTGATATAAGAAAGTATATTGTATAATTTGTTTTTAATAAAAATGAAATACTATCCAGAAAGTACCTTCCAAGTTTCCTGCAACTTGGTTGGCTAAAAAATTTTTTTTATTAATCCTTATTTAAAAATCTGGTTTGTAAGTTTGTTGGTGACTTAAATTTTATCTTACAATAATCACCACTCATTTACATTATATCATTCACACCATGACAGTTGTTCTGATAATTAATAATATATACAGTGTCTGTCATATTCCAGCTGATCTGTTGAGCCCTGGTATTGGGCAAAAGGCCTTGTCAACACTGGATATTGCAGATGTAGTCAGGATAACATATTATTCTTTTCTTTCACTTGCAGATTCTGAGAATTAATAATGTAGTTTGCTCCCATTGATGCTGTTGTTGTATGACCTGCTTGGGAAACAAGAATACTAACTTTTGGGTTTGCCATTTTTTGTGTATGATAATAAGGTTAATTCAAACAAAATATTGTCTTTAATTCTTACTCAAAAAGTCTGATTTTAAAATGACTTAAGTAAAATTGTTAATAGTCACAATTCACACTATAAGAGTTCATGAAAATTGTCTTATATATAATGCTTGAACCACTGCTATGTCCATTGTATCCTAACTTGTCTGATGAGTCCTAATATTGGGAGGAAGACATCCTTGGCACTGAATAGAACAGATGTAATGTGGTTGAGAAGCAGTGTATTACTATATATCATTTTACAACTTCAATCAGAATTTTACCAAGTAAAGACTTAAATTTAACATTTTGATGCATTTTACAGATTTGAATGTTCTTCACACCAGTATCAGTTATTACAAGTTTTTTTTTTCAAGATTTTGGGTAGTGTATTTGATGGAGTCTCCTGCATGTCATGCTTCATTTCCATGCATATTTCTGGACTTTTCTTGCATTTCAAAATTAGGATCTTAGTTATATTTCTTCTGAGTCAGTTATATGTAGAACATACAAATATAGATTAAGGGTGCTTGTTTTAATGGAGTTTGAGACAGAATTCATTGTCCAAGTGAAAGTGTCAGTATGGAGATCTAAATGTTATCCACTTCTACACACTAGTTCGTAAGAACTTGAATCCAGTCAAAATATAGAAGTATTGAGCAATCTAGATGAGGTGTGGTCACTGGTCATTGTGGAACAAGCATTCTGTAAAGCCTTTTCCTTATTGTTATTTTAAGTATTTTGTTACATCTTTTATTTCAGGTCATATTAACCTAATGTAATTCCAAACACCTTGAAACAGCCTGGAACTGATAAAATATTTCCTATTTGCAAAGCATTTACTCTTTTATAATAGATATTAGAAAGTATTGTGAACTCTCATTAGAATAAACTCAAAGATATATTTAATTGCATTTTAACAGTAGGGAAGCCAGCATCAGGACCAATAGACCTGAAACTTAATGGAAATGTAGTAGTATCATGGTACAAGATAACTTAAAGGAAAAGGCTTGGTTGAATAGTGCATTAAAATATCAGTGTCCTGACTTTTCAAAGAAATACTTATTTGCACTCTTTTTGTAAGTTTGAAACTTTTGTTTTTCGTTAAAATGAATCAAGTTGAATGATTGTAGTTGGCAAAAAATGAACCGAATGAAATGTTCCTGAAAATCATTTTGTATCATGTTTATTGTAAGGTGATACTTGTTGAAGCCACCATTAGGAACATTCAAGATCACTGGAAGTAGGAAAGTTTTTCAGACAGTTAGGGCCAAATCAGTTAGTTTTATTGTACTTTAGATTGTCTTTCAGTTCCTTCAACAGGTGTGTATTTTCTTACAAACTTTACCAAATACAACGTCTAATATAAACCGGAAAATAAAAAAAATGAATTTCTTTGAATAATGAAATGTGAGAAACTGAAATCATTAAATTACCAGTTCATTTGGAAATATTTAAGTCATATATAAAACCAGACAATCACCTTGACCATGCTGAAGTTAGCTTTCTTGTTTAATATCCTAGTTTTGATCTTAAGGGTACTAAAACTGTGAAGAAATATATGTTTCTTACCTAATATAAAATAATTTACAAATTTTTTTTAGTTTTCTTAGTTTGTTTTAATACAGATATGCATGTAATTTTACAAAATAGTTTCTTAAATATTCACTAGAACTGTTTATAACAATACTTGCATGTTTTTGACTTTCAGAACCAATAAATACCTTCCATGGCATACATAAAACAGATAATGAACCCATCAGGTTAAGCTACCATAAAAATATCCATTACAATTCTATCTCAGACCCATACAAACCAACTGTTGGAGTTGGACTAGGACTCCCATCCTTTAAACCAGGGGTAGGTGTTTCTTTTGTTGTTTAAAAAAAAAAATACACCTCAGATAATTATCATCCCTCATTAATTCACTAACAGTTTTTAAATATTTTGAGTTTTAACTTAAACATATACTGTGTTATTTTAATTTAGTTACAACTTTTGGTGTGCATTTCACAACATGTTGTTTGTTTGCTGTAAATGAAAGATACAGTATTAAAAGCCATCATTGACTCAAGGTTATGTAACCAGTGTTGACATTTTTATTTCAGACAGCAGAAAAAAGCCTTATTACAGATGCAATAAGAGCTTCGGAAGGTCTGCAGTTGGAACAGGTAGGAGGGCTATGGAAATAAAGCTTCTATTCATACTAAAATAATTACAAATTATAAAACATGTATGTGAGTGTTAGCATGCTTTCTGCTGCCAAGAGTAGATCGTATCAAGGTGCCAAGCTTAGAGTTTCATAAATTCAACTCTAACAGGGCTTCAAAAGCAATAAATGTTGATTGGCTTATGTTTAATATTGACTATAAATAAATGATGCAACATCTGTGCCATTAGTACTGTTCAAAGTTTTCTCAAGTGTGTTACATGTTAAAATGTCCTCTGCATTCAAATTTTCAGCTGCTTCACTTTCTTTAGGGATGTAGTCACTCTCATTGTTTGGGGAATCACATGAATCAGCAATAACATTCTCTTTGTGAATCATTACCTTTTCCTTGGTAGATATACCAGATGGTCCTGGTTTACTTTAATCCCTGTTTTATGTGCTGAGGAAAGATAAAAAATCACTAAACATTGCAGTTATAATGTTAGCACTGACCAAGGTAAAATAATGTTATAGAAACCTACTGGACAAGAGCCATGTTTACATGCAAATAAAAAGACCTTGACCCAGATGATATAATATGATTTTGTATCATTTGAATCATGTGGCAGTGAATGGGTTTGAAGAATTGTAGCATTAAGTATTTACAAGTGTTTGTAAACATTTTCAATGTACCCTTCAGTATCCATCGATTTGCACTACTACTGTTCCTAGATGTAGAAAATGGTGCTATAAAATGTTCTTCTTTGTAGTAATTTTTCTTGTTATTTCTACTAGGTAATATTTAGATACATTGAATTTAAAAATAAATATTTTTTAAGTAGGTTATTTAAAATGAGTTTTTTACGTTTGTATTCTTTATCGTTCTGTTCACTGTGAAAGTCATGAAACTTTAGATCACACTAAGAAACCAAGTCATGGCAGTAAAATGTATTTTAACATATCTTGTTCAGTTTGGAAGCCTGTGGAAATCTTTTCAACTACACATTTTGTGGAACTAAACCATCACTAATGTTTACTTTTAATACATTTTGAGAAGATAAAAAGTTGTAAGATCCATTTCTAGAACACGTTTCATGCACTCGGTTATCCGGGGTAGTTTTTTGTGCAAAACTGTACACTGTATTGTATTATGAATATGCTGTGAAGCTCAGTGTACCAGAATGCCTATAGTACATAAGTTTATGCTTTTTAAGGCTATGCTAGAAGACAAACTACGAGCTACTGATTGGGAGGCCACAAATGAAGCCATAGAAGAACAAATTGCTAGAGAAAGTTACCTAGAGTGGTTACGAGAAAATGAACAAAGGACAAGAAAAAAGGTTTGTTTTTAGACATATATGAGACATGGGTGTTTTTTAATTTAAAAGAAAAGTTTCTATCCAGTCACATGTTAGTTTAGAAACTATTACCATGCATATTAAACTTGTATTACAAAATGTAGCATAGAAGTACTAACTCATGCATGTGTTTCATGAAACATTTAGACTCCTTCTGCAACAGAAACATCAAGTTCTAGTCTCTCAGTAGTTGATGGAGCTGCAGGTGGAGGCATGTCACCTTTAACAGCTGGTAGAACACCTTGTATCCGTGGGAACAGCTCCACCTCAAACAGTCCTAGAATAGATAACCATGGGGAAGACAATGGCTGTAGACCACCAGAAAAGGGTACAAAAGTTTTTTGGTCACTTAAGAAGAATTATAATGCAATTATTTTTTTATTTTTTTTGTGTTATGAAAGTGTAATATATTAATTCTGTGGGTTAGATTATGAATGAAATTTTGTACTCGTAAAAAGTGTAATAGAATCTGTCAAAAAACTTTAAAAGGAATTATGCTGTGCTAATAAGCCTATAAAATTTAAACTTTATGGTAAGTGCACTTAGAGAATTAAAAGTATGTTACATTTTTAATGGTAAAAAAGCATTTTCTTAATCCTGCTGTGGTGAAATATGGACCCATTGATTTTTACAGTAGTATTGTAGTATAATAGTATTGTAGCTAGCAAAAGAAGTACAGAAGGTCATGATGTCTGTTTGTGTTAACCATGTTAAAAGGAGCTCTAATCAAAGAAGAACAGTAAATCAGGCCTTTTTTTATAAGAAACTACATATACAGTGATTCACACACACACACACACACACACACACACTAAATTTATGCTTGCAAATGGTAGCATGAGTGCTTAAAGTGATTTATTATGACAGAGAAAAGACTAGAAAATATTTCTTCTTTATTGATATAAATATTTGCATTAGTTAATTAGTATATAGTTAATGATTTTTATCAGCTATAAAATGAATAAACTAAACAACATTGCTACATTCTTCTTAACTTTCTTCACTCTATATTCTCCCTTCTTATATAGATTTGTATCCTATGTCCAATTTACTGTAACCTCGAAATGCTTTCAGCTCGATTTTACAGCTTTTGGTTGTCATCTTCTGTTTGCTTCATGAACAGTCACAATAAATTAAATATTTTTTACTACGTTGCTCAATGCATTTTCATACATAACATTTCTGCTTTCCTCAGGAGTATTTAAAATTCTTATCTGATGTATGAGTTAATGACTTTTCACGCATGCAACAAATAACATGTGAAATTAGATAGTTGTATGTTTGCTTAAGTGTGTAAATGCACACAACATGCATAAAACAAACAGGATTGTAAATTATTATTTACACACAAGTAGATTAGAGCTCTAACTTTTATATCAAAGCTGTTCTAAAAGTTCTTTGTTTGATGTATCTGTTTTCTAAGTAGTTTATAAAATTTTGTTAGTGTTATGCTAGTGTTGCACATTTTATGTGTACTTTAGCATGTAGTAGGTAATATGGGATGTTAAAGTGTCACATGTAGTCTGTCCTAAATACAGGTTGTTATTTCAATCAAGCAGGAAGTCCAAAAGCTGGAAGCTCTGGTATGACTGGAGGACACGTGGAATTAGAAGATAGTGCTTGTTCATCAAAATGTTCTGCTACAAATAGCCAAGAGGGTTTTTCTCTCATAGAAACAGCATCTTTCATGAATAGGCTTCCTCCTTCAGTATTTGGTAGGTTTGTATGGATCACATTTGCGATAAACCTTATGTAAACCCTTTATTCCAAAACATGCATACCTTCGCTGCCACATATAGCTATTACTCAACCTTCAGGGTTTGAACTATGTCCATCTAAGCATTGTTCTGGTTTTTTCTCACTCAATTGCTCTTGGCAATATTTGTCTAGTGATATTCTTCACCTATGTCAATGTGCCTTCTATCCTGGTACTGTATATAAGGAGCTCATTCAGATAATTTTATCACTTTTTCCTGACAAAGCATTTAGACATGGGTTTCTCTAAATGAATGCTGTGATAATTAACATACTTGGTTGAGATTTTTGCATCACGTAGTGGCTTTCGATATAAATTATATTTAATAATTATTATTTAAAAAAAAATCAGATTGGCAAGTCGATTGTGGTATGAATTCCTGGATTATTATTTCCAGCATAGAAGCCAATTAGGTCTCTCCTCTCCCACCTCTGATATCTAGCATCACACAACAATCGAGGGAGACTCACTATTGGTTAAGACTGTCACTGATCTTGTTTGTAGTAAGATGGAAGCATATATTTGAATCTTTGGTGATTTTGCCTACCACCACCAGGTGGAGGCATTTTTCCGACTCAAATTATATATTCTCCTTGAATTTTGGGGTTCTAAGGTGGAGTTTGTAGTTAGGTTTATGTCCCCTGATGGGACAGAGTAAGTCTACGAACTTACAATTCAACTTCAACATTTAGTTTCCTTTCATTTCACTTTGTTAGAAGACTCTTAGGATCACCAGTTTCATTGAGGAAAGCTGGATCCATTGTTAGCATGCATTTTGTTTCAATTTTCAGCTTCTATATTCTTCCTGGTTGTTGTTGAAGTCTCAAATTTCATTGGCTCCTACAAGGGGGGTCATAGTTCTGCCCCTATTCATGAGAACCGATCCCTGATATCAGCTTCTCTGTACATTGGTACTCAGAATAGATTCTGTTTATATCTAAGGTTTCCACTGCTTAGTTTGATCGCCAGCAGTATCAGTGATTATTGTATACCTTCAGGAGCTGTGGGTGCTCGGTTCCAAAATTTCTGGACGTGTGGTAAGCTCCTCATTGGTCCAGAAGCTTTGTAGGTCCTTGGATCACAATTGATCATTCAGTTCTCATCATCCCTACTATTATCCACCCAATCTGTAAGGTTTATGTCTCCAGCAGTTTATCAGGATTTGGAACTTAGTTCTAGGGTTATCTTAGTCTAGTTGGTCTGAGGGTAGTGAAAGAGTCTTGTTATTTCTTCAGAGTTTTTATTCCTGTTCATTGTTGGTGTCTAGTCATCGATCTTCGTTGTCTATATCAATGCCTAAATACTCCAGAGTTAAATTTCTAAAGTTGACACATATCTGGCTCGGTTTCTGCTTAGTCTGAAAGTCACTTTTCTCAAAGGTAATAACATACATATCAGCAGTGTTGTATTGAGAGGGGGTTGAACCCTTCTCAATCAGTGGTGTCAACCATAACTCGTTTTTTGATTTGGCTCTTTGACAGAAGTTTTTTCACAGTCACTATTGTTTATGGTGGTCTTATCAACTACTGTTTGATTATCGCAACTACATACTTTTGAGTCCCCGTTACTTTCGAGATTCCTCACATTGTCCCAAATGACCATTCCAGTTACCTAACGGGTAGATTCAGGTTACACGTTCTTTCTCTACGCCTGTTTGTGACTTGACTCTTATATTCCATGTATCCCCTTTACGTGCAGGTTATTTTGTGGCTGCTAACCTAAGGACTTCACAGGTTGGATTGATTTGCACTGTATGCCCACAGACCACTTTCTCATTCTCTGTACATCCTCAAACCAGTTATTCTTACCCAACACTCTCAGACAGGATAGGGGTTCAGTCCTTTCCTCTGTTTCATCAGCATATTCTTTCTCTCTCTCTGTCCAGTCAGTTTACTTTTTTTTTGGTCATATTCAGTTAGGGTCTTGAAGGTTTTGTTGCCTGCACTTCTACCTTTATTCTGGGCTCTATTTGAAGGTGTGTTATATTCTGCAAGTCACATTTAATCAGATCTCTCTTTTTCTATGTCCATAGCAGCCCAGTTGAATTGCCCACTGGAGGTCACTATGTGGACCTCCCCCATATCTTTGTCTTACATTATTTGCCTGATCTAGCAGTCTCTTCACCTTAGAGTTTTTACCTACCCCCTCTAGCTATCTTAATTATTTCTGCTAGATTATCCAGAGGAGTATTTTTATTTCTATCTTTTAGGGTCCATTACCTTGTTTTCACAGGATCTCACTATGTGGCGGGTGTTGCCTAGACAGGTGTGCTTTTATCCATCCAATTCCACATTAGCAACCAATTTAATTATACTTACTACTGGTTGCAACAGGCTCTATAGAAATGAGGTGTTCCATAAGACCATCTAGGAGATCACCAGATAGTATTACCATATTATGCTGGATTGCCACTCATGGACTATCATGAGTAAAGCTAAAGAGGATCCTGCCCATCCTTGCTGATCATCAGATTGAATAAATCAAGGTTGGTTTTAAAACATTAGGGAACTTGGTTCACCTAGAGCACTGTTCCTCAGGACTTCCTAATGCGCATCCCCCCCCCCCCCAGCTTTTACTCGTGGAGCTAGGGAGTCCTTACCACATCCAGTTTCCAGTCACTAGGGTGGTGGACAGAGGCTTTTCCTCCACAGTGTTCGAGTTAATTTGGGGGCCCTCCTACCTGGGTTCCTGGATGTTTTCCCCAAATGTCAGTAGAGCCAGCCTATGTCCTACTCATAATACCGGTTCAGCTTTGATACTTGGCTATACAATTGGGGTGTGCATGGACCTTCTTTTTATCAGTATCGGTTTAGTTTATTTTTCATGGAAGGAGGTCAACTATTTCCACGTAATTCCTAATGTGG